AAACTTATAATTCTCCATATTGATAAGCTCTACTATTGCATGTGTTTATTAGTGTCCTTCATATTTTTCTGCTTCCTGAGAGAAAGTGATAGGGATTGTTGAGGAATTTTTGTACACATTACTGTATATGCCACTATATACCGTATTAAGTACATATATTGTATATTACATTACAGAGTGCCTGTCTAATTCCACAGATACTCCCCTCTCTCTCTAAGCAGTACACAAGGTCAGGTTATAGATTAAGGACCAACCTACAGTGCATTGTAGTGTCTACACTTAGAGACTTTCATATCTAACTCAGATGCCCCAGACAGAGAGACAGCAACTTCAACTCTTTTGAGTTTTACACCAGTATCCACCTGTAAACACCTACATGTTGAATAGACAGTGCGGCAATTCAAGCCATTCATTGATGTGCCGTTAGAATGGGCATTACATTAAAATCTTCTGCTTAAGACATCAGCTGCTGCCTGACTTCTCCTTTCACCCGCTTCCAGAAAACTTCCATAACAGTGATTACAAGCACCCATTCTAGCTTGGTACTTCTCTGCTCCCAGCAGCAGCAGCAGGAGGAAAAATGGAGTGAGGAGAGGATGTGGCCCCTGCAGGAGAAAAATAGCCTTTTGATTTTGGTTTAGGTCTCCCATGGGCTGCCTCTGGGTTTGGAACAGATTTGGTTCAGTGCTGAGCTGGGTAGCTTCAGTCGACAGCAGAACCCCCCCCCCCCCGGATTTGTCACAACTGATTTCAGCCTCGATCATGAGACACCACTGGCTGGATTACTGGCTGATATGGGGCAAGAGTTTTGAACACGTCATCTTGCACACCAGGCTTTAACAATGCAGCACTGAAGAGCGCCTCAGATATGAAAGAGCAGCGCGTGATGGCCTTTCCGATCAGATCATTAACATCACAGTTTTTCTAAGACAGACTCCATTTTAGCACAAATGCGTGATTTGACAGCCAGGCCAATGGAATAATGTGGCTGCAGTACTGGGAGATGAATAGAACCTGAATAGACCAGCCTGTTGGGCCACATTGGGCCGGACTCATTTCCAAAAACAAGCAGCGCTTGAGGGTGAGAGATGATAGTTGTGCTGCTCCTCACAGGTGAAAACACGATGACTGAGATTTTCCGTAGATCAAAAGCATTCATGACGCACTTTCAAAAACCCATTATATAATACCAAAACTGCACGGTGGCCAGTGTCATTAATAAAGCTGTTACGCAGTACTTCATTCCTAAAAAGCTGACGTGGAGGATGCATTTTTCACCTGACACCAGTGTTTTCCTGCTGCCTCTCTTCTCCTGGCCTCAGGCTGAGTAGAAACAGTAAGCAAGTCTCCAGCATATGCACGAGGATGTGCAGACAACTATGACAAGGCTGACTGATAGAGGCCAAGGTCCTGGACGAGCTGCACTCCGTTATTGATAATTGCTCTTTGTCCAGCTTATATTCACTCCTCTCATTGGGAGGTTTAAGTCTACAAGTCCTGATTGCCTCCCTGTGTTCATTTGTCCTGAGGCGAGTGCAGACACACAGCATTTTCTGCTCATTGTATGATTCTGCATAATAACTACATCCACATAATAACAGTCCATCATTCCTGTTTGGTTCCATATAAGGATGTGCAGCTCACTGCCAAGCCCCTTCCTCCCCAAGCCCATGTTTCTGCCTCTTCTCTCCCGTCTCATTTTTTATCTTCAGCACTTCATTAAATTCTTTCAATTTACCAGTCTGTATGTCTCTAATAATCAACATGGGTGCACTCCCACACTTTCATTTCCTTAGTTGCCCTCTTTCCAGTGTAATTCAGTTTCAGTAAAAGGAAAAACTCTGCATCAGAAAAATGTCTTGTTTTTCTTATTGTGGTGTCATTTTTGTCTCCCTCTGCTTATCCTCCAAAGTCCAAGGTTGACATGATACCAAAATGAATTATTTCCTCTAGAGTTGCCACTCCTGCCAGTGTTGTTATTACAAATGGAAGTAGTTTATCAGAATATTACCTTCCGATGTCCTTCCTTGAGATCCTTCTCATTTTACCTGCAGTGAAGCCAGTAATGGGATTCACAAGTAAGACAGTCTGCATTTCACTGTAATGGGATTTTGAAAGGGAATGATGTACATGTGTTCTCTGTGACATTATTCTTTGACATGTAAAAGACATTTACTGCTTTATGACTGCGCTACAACATGGGCTGAAAACATGGTTACAGTACATGATTCATTTTAATGATCTCCACAAATCCTGTTTTATGAAAGATTAAGAAGTTTTATGTGGCAGCTTGGACGTAGGTGCCCACTTGACATAAGTTGCCAAATGGCTGACTCTATTATTTGCATTTGATAACATTTCAATAGAAATACAACTAAATTAATGTTGTTGCATTGTGAATCGATGTCTTGAACAGAGCAAAGTTTTAAAACCATACACCGACCACACAGGAAACGATCCTCAGTTACATGTGGTTAAAGTTTAATGATAGGTTCACCGCGTTGTTGGATTAACTGCACTTAGTGTTGCTTGCAGTGATTCAAACTCTCTGGTGAAAAGGGTGAACCTATTTTTTTGTTGTTGTCATTATTTAACAGTGAGTTAAGGCAGGCCTCTAGGGAAGGAATATTTAGCAATGAGGATGATGAATTCTGGCGGGCAAGAAAGGAAGAGACACGGGTGACCCTTTGCCTTTTTTTCCCTACAATGCCTTTATAAGGGTGGAATCAGTAGAGGTGAAGGTTTTTTTTTAAAGGATATGTTCCATTTTAAACCCACATTTTATTCTGCATGTTTATGTTATTATTGATCATTAAGGTAAAAGTGCTTAAAAGTATTGCATTGTGCTGAAGAAACAAGAAATTTCAGATTTCCATTTGGACTTAAATTAATTTCTTAAGAAATGGTAAAAAGAAAAAAAAAAACTACTTTGTGAATCCTCATTGAAAATAGAAAGGCATCAGCCCTTGCACTAATGGACTGAAAGAAAAGCTGCAGAACATACTTTTTTAATGGCTGCTGCATAACACGGTGAAGATCACACAGCTAAAATTTGATTAGAAAACCTCCTGAAACATCACATTTTAATTCAAGCGGAGGAATCAATTAGTCCAAATGAACACTGCGGTGTACGATGTACGCACGTTTGATGCCATGTGGGGTTTGATTCTCTCTTTGGATCCAGCTTTTGACTCAACTGCCTTTGTGCAAGTGCTGAACAAGGACACTGTAGGTGTGTGTGATCTTGAGCTGTGAGAGCAGCACTGTGAAGTAAGAATAGTAGCACACCAGCAACGTCTTAATTTCTGGACAGCTACGTGCTCCATGGTGGCAGCTTTAACACCTCAGAGCACTGCAGCGTCTCCAGCTCCCCCAAGACCTTGTGGGTGATAATAAGTCATTACTGCTTCACAACTGAGATATTTATTTCACCACATGCACATGGCAATTCATCATTTATTTATGTGACAGTTGTTATCTATTACAATGCTCCTTTCATGTGGCCAAGACTGAGAGATTTTATGGAACATTAGGCTCCCATGCATCTGATGGCGCTACACTGATTCTGTTTCTTCATCCCCCATCGACACAGTCTTCATTCTCACAGGTCACTTAATTGCAGGATATTGATACCAGCATTATTGCTGCCACTGCAGCTAATGTGATTCCTTAGCCATTTCAATATGTGGGATTTTGCTCTCCCAATAAAAAAATGACATTTGAGCCACTGTGCAGCTGGCAGAGGCACCGGCCGTGCTTTTGTTTATAAATAGCCTCAGCCAACATTATTCCACTTGCAGTTGTCCCATAATCATCAATCACTCCTGCGCGCAGGCCGACTTTTCCTGCTCACCAGAGAGAAGGTGCGCCGTTAGCTGTGGCTTTGCACCTCCAACTGTGCAAGTACATAAAGTAGAGCGGGGTGACTGGGACTGAGCTGGGATTCGAGGAGACAAGGGGAGGGAAAGGTCCCTGTGCGCTGATGGAGTGAGTTATGGCAGCTTCGCCGTAGCCATTTCAAACTCTCCGTCTTGCACCATGATCGGGTGTTTTTCACTTCTTCCACACATTTGGAAACATTTGCATATTCGCACACTCCCTCTGCATCCCCGATCGGAGGCAGGTGAAAGACTTATCATGTGATGCGTTTGGAAGATGTGGGATGGGTCGGACACACCTGTTTGCTCAGGCTTCATTTGTCTCTGTCGCCCTATCTGCCTTCACCTCTTTCTTTGGAGGAGCTTTGCAAGAGGAGCTTTGAAGACGCTGCAGAGGGAGGATCTCAGTGAGAGATGATGAAGGCCATTTTGTGTTTACACACACATGTGAAAAGATGTGCTCTGAATGTCAGCCATCACACTCATAACTTATTTGTCCATATACTTGCAGATGCATGTAAGAGCACATGCACACATGCAATATCTGTCTTTGCTGATCATTGTTCAAACTGTACACACATCCACACTCACACACACACACACACACACACACTCAAACACACACACATCAGTGTAACCATGACAGTTCCAAAAAATACAGTCGGAATCTAGCTGATCCTTAACAAAATGGTTATATAACTACCGCAGCACTAAGTCTTGTATCTTATCTAAGCGTGCCTCTGTCTCCTTTCAACCCAGCTTTGCTGCTTTTGAGCTGCTCTTCAAATCTACTGTACCTCCCACAAGACACCATTGAACACATGAAGGACATTTGTAATTGCCGATCAGTAAATGTTTTCTCAGAAAAAGGTGGACGGCCTCACTGCAGTTGTTATCAACAATATCCTCCTCTTACCAGAAAACTGAAAAATTGAGATCTCATCACTTTCGAATCTTAATCAGAATCTCCATGCTGCGAAAATAATTTCACACTAAGTTAAATGCAGCCTACTTGAGAAGCACACCCACCTGGCACCCACATTGTCTCCCTTTTACTCCCCCTGTCCCTCGCTAAATCTCCCCATAAGCCTGATCTGTGTGAGCAGATTTTTTTAACCTCACCTCCCGGAGTTCCTTGGCCACATCCTTGAGCTCTTTGAGAATGCCGTCCAGCTGGTCGATCACCATCTTCATGTGGCTGCGGATGCGTTCTCTCGGGCTGGGGGTCTCAGAGGTGTCCCGTGCCGGAGCTCTGCTGAGGGACATCCTTTACAGGGCAACGTGGGGCCAGTGGCCAACAGGCTGAGGGCGTGGGGGAGCCGAGTCGGGGTCCATGTCTTTGGCTACGGGGAGCCTCAGTGCTACTGATCCGAACAGGGGCCCCGGACGCGCAGGGAGACCTCAACATCTTAAAAGCACCTGGGCAGCCAAAGCACCTTGCCTCGCCCGCACACTCTGCACAGGGTCACACTCTGACATCCATGCCCTCTGGTCGACGCTTCCAGAAAAGAGGAGAAAAAGAGCATGGGAAAAGTCCAACGCAGTAAATCCATGGAAAAGGAAGAGGCAAAATACATGGGCTAAAGCTGGTATGAAACTCTTACATAATCATATTGAGCCAACTCATCTCATGTGTCATTGTGTACGTTTGAAATTGTTCTCGAGGAGGAGCTATTTAAAAACGTCTATACAGAGAGGAAACTTCTTCCCTCGTCCACTTGTCCTGCACAATCTTTTTTACTAATGAAACGCAGTAACATAATGGCAGGCTAACAAGCTATCCAGCATAGATAGAAAAAATAGAACTCCCAGCAGTGGCTCGAATTTCCAAATTATCCTGTTCTACATTATTGGTGGCCAGCGGAGACAAGATTTGCCGTCTTAATATAGTCCCTCAGTGAGGGCTACTGTCTTTAAAGAGAGAAAGGACAGATGCTTTCTTTTGGAAAAAGGAGATATTCCTCTGTGCAGTTTGACGTTTCCTCCTCCAGGAAAAAATTAAAAATGATTCTCAGTAGAAACTCACTTCAAAATAAACTTTGCTTCACATCCATTTTCTTTGCAAATTATGACTTAATCATGTTGTCCTTCATTTCCTCGCCCATGAAAGCGAGAAAGGTAGGTGTGGACTTTTTTTTTTTTTTTTTTTGCACTCAGTGTCCAATATCTCCCCAAAGCAGGGCTTATTCCAGGTGGCGTGGGATCAGAATGAATTGATTTCTAAGCCAGCGGAACGTGACTTGTTATGAGAAGTTGTGGAGGGATAACAAAACAATTATGGTGTCGTAGAGACACAGTTACAAAAAGGGGGGCTTGAAGGTGAACAAGCACCTTCCTCTGGAATTTGGGTGGCTCGTCTTATGCAACAGCACGTTCCAAGTCCTCTCCGAAAACACTGACCCCCAGCAGTCCACAGGGGTGTGCCCAAAAGCCAAGGGAGCAGAAAGAGGGGAAAAAAAAGGATTCTCTTCTCTTCTTCAGTTGTTGCTAAGGGAACCTGGTCTGCCTCCTTGTGCTGTGATTGGATAATTATTTTACTTCTTATCCGTGTAGTGTGTGTTTTCTCCCTGGACTCTTTTCAGAGAGGCAGCGAGCGCCGTGCCATCCAGCAGGACCGAATAAATCCCATGAAAGCTTCCCAGAGGAGCCCCAGAGAACAAGCGGGGGGGAGAGCTTCTCGCCAAATCCAGGGCGATGCCACTGCCACAGGGCGCGCTGGCCAATCACACATGGCACCTGGACAGATGGGAAGGAAAGCAATCACTTATTCTGTCATGTCTCATCCTCCTCTCTTTTTCCTCTTTCCTCCCTCTTTCTCTACTTCATAGCTGCATGAAAAGAGTGAGGGAGACTCGGAGATGGACAGGAATGAACTGCGTTGACACATCCACACACACAGATACACACTTACACACACCTACTCACCTTTCCTGTGCATCATTTGGCTGTTGCTATGCCCAGAGCTCACTGTCCACGCACAGCGGGATCATTCATGCTACACACAACCTACTGGTTCTTTAGCGGTCCCTCTGTCACGCGCAAACACACACACACACACACACACACACACA